TCTTGTGGTTCTCAGTGGCTAGGGTCCCTGGGGCTCAGGCCTCTAGTGAGGGCAGCTGCTGGCACTTCCTGGGGAAACCGCACTTGGGGGCTGACCCGGACCTCCAGTTCTCCAAGTGGCCATGGGGAGAAGGCCAGGCTTCCGGGGAGAAGGCCCTGCATGAGGATGGTGGGGCGTCACGTCGGAGAAGAGGCCTTCCCTAGACACACACATGGACTCCCTGTAGCCAGGGAGCCACATGTCTCACCCACTTTCCCAGGAGGACAAAGGCTGGGAGCATGTTATGCGGTCAGGCGGTCTGCCTTTTAGAATTTTCCCTTTCCCCATGTCTGTTTGCTGGTGTGGCACAAAATCCAACTCCATGGTGGCAAAGTTGCCCACCCCACCATGGGTTTATGTGCTGCAGTGCTCCCAGTTCAGTCAAATTACTTTTCTCTCTCAAGTGGCCACCTCCTTGTGCTCCAGACCTCGGGCATCAGGGACCCAGGGAGTCCTGCAGAACGTGCAGAAGAATCCTGGCCACCATCCTCTCTGGAATGGAGACCCCCAGCCCCCAGGGCACCTTTTGCTCCCAGGAACAGTTGGGTCTGGGGTTCAGCCATGTGACCAGGACAGAGGGAATAGCCAGAGAAGTTCCTTCTCTTCCTCAAAGTTAGGACCTCAATATGCTATCGACGGGATCTGGTGACAAATTGCCCCTTCCCCTTCTCGGCTCTCTGGACAAACCCCAGGGCTTCTACCATCTGCTGTTTAATGGGTGCTGGACAAAGAGAGTGGCCAGCAGGGGCAGCAGTCCCCAAACGCCTCCCTCCACAGCCCACCTACTCTGGGCATGTTGGGGCTGCTCTGAAGACCGTCCCACCCAGCAGATGGGCCAATGGGAAGGGAAGGCACAGAGGTGTCCCCACAGTGTCACGGTGCTCACTGTTCCTGCCCCGCCACCAAACCTCCACTTCCAGCCCTAGCCAAACACTGCAGAAACCTGTTATCCAGAGATGTTTTGACTTTCTACTTCTGGTTTGACCCCGCAAGTCAGATTTGCCCTTCAGGCTGGTAGGGCTCAGGGTTGTGGGGGACTCCTGTGGTTGAGTGTAAGGGGACAAGCACCTAAACTCACACAGGACTTGTGGATGAAGTTGGGGCATTTTATTTTTCTGAGCTTGCATAACACAGCACATGTTCAAGGAGGTGGCAAGAATATTCCCTTATTTCCTAGAAGAAGCATGCCAAAGCTAAAACTAAGTCAAGGTGGATGCCATTTGTTTACAGGTTAGCCCCACTAACCATGGGGAGGAAAATGCTGATCTTTAGAAGAATACTGGAACATGCACTCATCGATAAAATACAGTGCTGTAATAACACATGTGAGAACATTTTTATTAACAAAGGAAGTCTCATTTGGAAACAAAACATCCCTCGAAGGAGTCTGAAATTAATCCTCTGATAAGCAGAAATCCACACTACTTATATATTCTCATTATAATTACAACCTGCTTTTAATGTGAACATTCTAAGTTATTAGTCTCTTTATTAAGAACCGAAAGAGGGACTTCCTGTAGCATGATGAGAACTAGTAGAAAACCAAGAGACAATTTTGCACAGAGCTGGGGAACAGTGGGTGTAATTTATTTAATAAAAGTGCTTAGTTTCTCTTTTGTTTAGGAATTGGTACACCCTTAGGGGTTCAGACAGCACCATGCCTCAGAACTGCTATTTCTAGGACAAGATAAAAACGTGTGTCATAGAAAAACAACAATTTATCACTGTAATGTTACTTCCCACTCCAGAAGCCACTAGAGACTCCTTAACATTTTCATTTCAAGCATGGTTTTTCCTGAGTCTTCAGGTGACACACGGATACTGATACCAGAAGGCTTTTTCCATTTGTTCCTAATAAAAACGGCTCGATGCTGAGTTCATTTTCATCTGGGGTGACGTTAAGGTCGTGCCTTCACAGACTGATCCTTCTCTTCCCTCCTGTGCTCTTTCTTGGAAAGTCTCTAAAAGCAACATCTGGGCTCAGTCACCAAAGACAGATGGACTCCCTCTATTTCCTCTCCCACCCCCCAGAGACCTCTGCCGGAGAGGCAGCACGCTATCTGAATGTAATGATATGCTGACTAAATTTCTCCTGCGCAGCGTGTGCTCAGGGACTCCTGCCATTAGGGCCCATCCCGTATCTGCACACACCTCCTCTGTACGGATGGAGTTCTCTATTTCAAACGTTCTTAGGATTTCTCAATGCTGTCATTGAACTAGTTCTTATTATTTTTCTTCTTTTACTTTATACAGCCAAATCCTCTTCATCTGACACTGAACCAGAGGCCAAGTTCCTGAGATGAATCACTTTCACTATTGTGGTTATTAACCAATAAAAGGTTCAGGATCGATGTAGATTTTTGTGCTGCGGTGACATCAAACCTTGCTATCTCTTCCTAGTGTTATTACTTTGCATATCAAAACCCAACCTCTTTAATCTTTCTCTTTTGTTTTCCCTTAAGGAAAAAGGGTCTAACTATTCCAGTTTGCTGACTAAGGTTTTTGTAGAGTCATAGTTAACACTAATAAAATATTTTATTGAACACTCTAGGTCAGACACTAAGGCAAGGGCTTTCAAGTGTCTTCTCAACAGCTTCACAAGGTAAATATCACATCTACATTTTGTAAATGAAGAGGAGAGCAAAGCTTAGAGAGGTTGATTAACTCTCTTACAGTCACAGAGCTGGTAGGGGTAAATGTAGACTCTGAAATCAGACAACCTAACTGTGGAGCTGGAGTTTGCAGCCCTCATACTAGAATAATTATGCTGGGGGATGAGTGGCTCAAGTTGAAAGGGTTGGAGTTTCTAAGGTGAAGGCACAACTTCAGTGAGGTTTTGACACCCCCTTTCAAGTTGAATCCCATCTATGAATATTCAGAAGCTTTCACCGGGTTTCCACATGGTTCATCCTCGTGTCCTGGGAAGGGCACTATCTGTGGTCAGTACACAGGGCACAGAGGGAGGAGCCTGGTGCTGGGGCCCCTGCACCCCTAAGACTGGAGCCATAAAAGTCTACACAAAGTGGACACAATCACCTTTAATAAGGGTGCCTAGAATGTAACCCAGATACATTTCAGCCTGATCAACAAATCAGAAAAAATAACCCACCAACAGAAGAGGGGTGGTTTATGTACATTTCTTAGGGACTAAGGCAGGTGCTAAGCCCACCAAGATGGTCCAGGAAGGAGCCAGGTTCCGGCCTCCGTGGCAGGCAGGCCAGCACGGACGCTCAGAGCCCTTGCCAAGAGCTGTCTACAGCCCAACTGCTGCAACCTTCTGCCGATAAGTGAATCCCACACAGAGATTTCCCACAGAGACGATGATTCAGCAGGTGAGTTTTGATCTGTGATGAGTAAACTGGCATTCTGGCTTATGTATCTGTCACGTTTGAGTTGAATTATGGTGAATCAATTCCCCTGAGGCTCATAGGAGGTAGGCACATGGACACATTACAATTTCTGGATCTGCAACAGGGAACCCCAATCTTGTTCCTTATGGGCCTGTGGGGAGGAGACTTCCTGCCCTTTCTCAGCCCTCTCACCCCATCCGTGCTCCTCCTTCCCTGCTCCATGGAGGTGGAAACCAGTGAGAATCCGGGCCGTTGTTCTGACAGGTTCCTTCACTGTGAAGGAGCTGACCCCGGGGCATGGTGCTCCTATGGATGTCCCGTCCCCAGCCCATGAGGAGCCTGTACTCATGGTGCCGCCACCCGGGCATTCACTTTCCGGTTCTGACTCTTGAGCCGAGCCATGCGACTCCCCATGGTCCAAGCGCAGGGCTGCATCTAGTACAGGAAGAGGCCAGGCTGGGTCTGCACCTAAACTACTCTCTCCCATCCAGCCCTTGTCATCTCAGAGGGAGGGTCCTGGGCCTTCCCCCAGGGATTAATAACATGGCCTGTTGCTCTTCTGGAACCACCTGGTTGAGGAAGGAGAGTGGTGGGCTGGCCGGGAGTGCGGGTGGGACGCAGACATTCCTGGCTTGCTGGCCTGAATTTGAAGAGAGCCCATCATGAAATTCCACCCCACAGGATGGCAGCTGGGGACACACTGGGACTGGGAAGCAGGCCCCAGAGCTGCGGTGGTGACCAAACCCAGCCCTGCTTTCCCAGGGCCAGCAGTTGCCCAGTGGGATGGAAACTGCCACACAGCCAACAAGCATAGTGAGTCCCTTTCTCTGTTAATTTCCTTCCACGGCATAAGGGCACCATGATGAATCAACTAATTCTTGAGGTTAAACAATAATTTCAAGAAAAGTCTGCCACATCTTCATGGATGCCATCTTCTTTTCAATGTTTCATTTTATCTTGTGATATTGGTCTACTGAGGCCAAAGTGGACATTCAAGGTTTCCCGCCCTCAGCACTGCGGGACACTCTGGGCAGGATGACTTCATTGTGCGAGCTGTCTGAGCACTGCACGGAGGTTACGACATCCTGGCCTGGACCCGCTAGCACTCCTACTCAGTTGGGGCAAAAGTGTCTCCAGACACCACTGAATGTCCCTGGTGGGCACAGTCACCTCTGGTGGAGAACTGCAGCTTTTCAAGGATGAACCAGTTCTTGCCAATTGGGGATTAGGTTTAAGTAGTTAGTTCTGATACTTGAAATTCTTCAGGCAGTAATCCTGCTAAATCACTGTCCCCCCATCTGGGCATGCATCCTCCCATTTGTTTAGTTGGGAAAGGCAGTCATCGCTGGGCAGAGGACCCCTGCTGAGGCGCCCGCCACCAGCCAGCTGGCTCCTGTCGAGGGCTGTTGGCGACCGTCGGGTTGTGTGAAGTGCGCTGTTCCCAGGGTTCATGTGTGTTGTCTAACAAGCTGGCAGTTATTTGGGGCCCTAACTTCCACCCAAAGGCTCAAACTGCTGTGGGGACAGCCCTTTCTTGGCAGGGTCTTGTTCCCACATAACCTACAGCCCTCTGAGTCACTCAGTTAAGAATATTCTACAAGAGCCACTGACCTCTGTGGATGTGTGCCAGAGGCAGGGAGGTGACATGGTGAAGACATGCATTCCAGGCACTGAAAAAGTCCTCCTTCTTGGTCACCGCCTGTCAAATTGACAGAAGAAAAATAACCACTGATAATATTCTGAGAGTATCGAACTTAGTGCAAGGCAGAGGGCAAACAGGCATGTGGTCAGCACACCCTCATGGTAGGTCACAAGGCTGGCGCCTCTGACCCGCAAAAGCTATTTGATTGATGAAGAAATGCCACGAACATTCTGTGAGCCCAGGTTATATGTTTATGTTAATTTCTCATACATATCAAACATGGCCACTGTCAGCTGCCAATTCTTGAGACAGAACAGGAGTTCAAGAAACCATTTGAAGGGGAAAGCTTATGCACAGATAAGGTGAGACTGTTTTAGCTGGGCCACTGATCGCCTGAAGAGTTCTAAATACCAGAACTAGCTACTTAAGTCTAATCTGCAACAAAACCAGCCCAACTTCCCTCCCTCCTTCCTCCCCTGGTAATCGGATGGCTACCGCCTTTTGTGTTCGGATTGTTTCCTGAACTCCTGTGACATCCCCAGGATGGGCGTTTGGTAGTGTTATGTCTGATACGTGTGAGGAATTAATATAAGCATGGAAACTGGACCCATGGTACGTTTATGGCATTTCTTTAACTAACAAATAGGTTTTGCAGGTCTCCTCCATGTGGGATGGTCTCTCCATCACTGCAGGGAAAGGAGTTTTTTTGCTTTGTTTTGTTTTTTAGTTGGAGGGAAGGGAGGCGTTATAACTGGAATAAGACAAGAGTGAGAAAACTACACGGACAAGAGAAAGATGCCTAATCACAAAGCTGGGAGTTAGAGTCATTGAGGTGGAGCTAAATAAAGGCAGGTTCTTATCTGACCGGAGAAGACGGTTAAATTTGGCACTTCTTGCCTTTCTTTGTTTCAAAAACTTAACAGCTTGATATTTAAGTTTATAGCAGTTTTCTTTGCCCAAAGAAACTACCCTCACATAGAAAGTTAGGCTGTATGTATCTGCTTCCCATTTGTTTTACAGACACACCCGGAGCCCCGTGGCTGGAAGGCAGCCTGCCTCCCCCACCTCCACAGCTCCTGCAGCGCTGGGAAGACACGCTTTGTAAAATCCCTCCTGCAACAGAGCGCTTTGTGCTCCAGTGGAAAAACAGAACTGCAGAAAGCCTCTGCCCATGTATAATTTAGCATGATTACCTGGGGCAACAGGCACAGTGTGGAGGACTATGTCATGGGCACTGCAGAGCCCCCACTTCAGTGGGGTATCTCGTGACAGTCAAGGGAGGGGATAATGTCTGTCTCATTCCCTGAATCAATATTTCTCTGTACTGGTGTCACAATTACAGCTGAGAAGATGTGGTGGTGGTACCCAACACTGAAGCAGCAGCTTGCAGAACACCCCTGGCAGAGGCAAGGACATGAGTCGCCCAAATACTTTGGTCCCAAAACTCTACCCAGCACACTGTAGAGGAAAATGCCAGGAAATTCAGCCCAGGGCCTGGTGGACAGGCTTTCCCAAACAAGCATCGGCTGTCCCCCACTGCATGGGAAGGAGAAGGGAAGAGCAAAATAGTGGGCAGATATGTCCAAGTAGATTCTAGGGCACTTTAAACATTTTTTAAACTCAATGTGTAGAGTAAGTCTTTCACTAGCCTGATCTAGAAAAAAACAAGGACAGACAACTGTCTGGACAACGTAGACCCAGCCTCAAGAAGGGGCTCTAGACAGAAAAGCCTTGCAGAGGAACATATTCAAAACTTGCTGTGACTGCACCCCTCAGAAAGTCCAAAGCAAAAGGAAAAAGCAAGGTCAAGGTATGGGACAGGCCCGTTGAAGGCCTGCCTGCAAACTCCAAAGATTTGTCACTGTCTTTGCTTCAGTACTTGCTCCATCAGGCTCAGTGTAACCTCGTCCCTGCTGGCAGGTGTCCCATGTCCCCCACCTCCAGACAAGAGGGCTGGCATGACTCACCCCCAACCACCAAAGGATGGCACCCAAGACTTGGAACATGTGACTAGAAAGGCAGCTTTACAAGGGCAGATACTCTGGAAAACGACTGACTGAGAATCCTCTATCCCCTCAAAGCAGAGTTTACTGGCAGGAAATAATTGAAGCCAACTGGGGCCTGCACAGTGGTCCACACATCCAGGGTAGGCAGACTAGGAGCAGTGTGTGGGTCACACTCCATCCCACTATCTGGTGGTCAATGAGCAGATCAGAAGGTCAAAGTCTGGTTCTGCCTGCAAGCGCAGGCTGTTACTCCACAGTGTCACTGCCCACAAATCCCGCTGATAGCTGCCCATGCAATGCACGGGAGTTTACCATGTGCTCATTGCAGAAACGGCTTTGCAAAACAACAGAAATAAAATATCTTAGCCCTCTGCCTTACAAAACCTTAATAGCACATTCTGGGAGAGAGAACTTTTTAAATGGAATGGTTGCTCTTTCCTTCAAGCTGTATACCTGCTACTGAAAACTTATAAGCAATTAGCCTTATGCAGACTGAACCCTTCTTAAAATGCACCAGACAGCAGACAGTTTTAAGCCCTCTATTGTATTTGCTCTTTTAGTTCTTCAGAAACCCTGGAGGTAAGTGGTACTGATTATCTTGATACCTTTACTTTGCACCTGGAAAACAGTGACACAGAAAGGTGAGGAACTTGCCCAAGGTTGCAGAGCTGGGTTCAGACTGGGCACATGGGTTTCTGAGCCCACGTTCCTAACCACAGACTACACTGCCTCCCCATGGACTAATGGGGAGTTAGTTCCCGGCAAAACCTGTCCCTCCCAAATACATAGTTAATGAAGATGCATTGTCACACGTGGTCATGTTTAAGGTGAACCACACCCCACCCTGAAAGCCTCTAATGGCACAAATGTCTATTTCCTAATAAGTCATCATACAGCTAAGCTAGAGCTGAACTCCTGAAACAAACTCTGCTGGCCTCCCTTCAGCAGATGCCCATATGCATTCCCTCTTTTCTTTCCTAGAAAAAAACCCAAATAGCTTTGGGCAGCATTACAGCCAGTTAAAAATACTTACCTCTCTATAGAGGATCTATGAGAAAACCTCAGCTAATATCATAGTCAATAATAAAAGACTGAGCGTTTTGCTCCTGTTATCAGGAAGAAGATGAGGACGTCCATTATCATCGTTTCCATTCGACACTGTATTGGAGGTTCCACCAGGGCGAGAGGGCATGATAAAGAAATTAAAGGTGTAGAGATCAGGAAGGAACACATAAAATTGTATTCATCCAAAAGACATGATTTTCTATGTAAATTTCCTAAGGAATATTTATGATAAATCTATTAGAACTAATGAGCAAATTAAGCAAAGTCACAAGATGCATGATTTTGCTACACAAAAATCAACTGTTTCTATATTCTAGCAATAAACAATTGGAACTTGAATTTAAAATGGCACTGAAATAACATTAAAAATATGCAATGCTCATAAACATACTTTACAAATGACATGCAATATTTGTACATGAAAACTAAAGGCATCGCAGAAGGAAATCTAAAAGGAGATCCTGAACCTGTACTGGGCTAATAGGTCAGAAAACTCGATGCTAAAATGGTGCTTCTCACATCGATCTGGAAATGCAACACAATGCCAGTCAAAATCTCAGCAGACTTCTTTCTGCAGAAATTGACAAACTGATTGTAAAACTTACACGAAAGTACAGAGGATGTAGAAGAGTCAAAACAACTTCGAGAAAAAGAAAAGCTGGAAGATCACACTGATTCAAGACTTAATATTAAGCTATAGTAAGCACAACAGTGTGGTATTGGGATAAGGATAGAAACATAGGTGAGAGGAAAAAAACAGAGTCCGGAAATAGAGCCACACATGCACTGTCAACTGATTTTCGGCAAAGATATCCAGGTAGTTGAACAGGGAAAATACAGTCTTTTTAACATACTGATTGTAAAACTGAGTGTAAAAACACTATATACAAAAGTTAACTCACAAGAGGTCATAAACCTAAATGTCAGAGCTAAATCTACAAACCCTGTAGAAGAAACCATGGTAGAAAATCCTAGTGACATTGGGTTATGAAAAGATTTCATGAGATAAGACACAAAAGGATTGAAATACATCAAAGTTAAAATCCTGCTCCTTAAAAACAATGTTAAGAAAATGAAAAGGCAGGTAGTGGATTAGAAGAAAATACGTGCAAATCACATATAGAATAAAGAATGTCCACATAGGATTTATAAAGACATCTTACAAGTTAATAGTTAAGAAAATGAAATCCAGTTTACAAGTGGGCAAAAAAGGTGAAAGGGCACTTTGCTAAAGAAGATAAGTGAATGGCAAATACACCATGAAAAAGACTTGAGAAAGGCAAATTACCAGTCCATAAGATTACACCATACATCCACTACAATGGCTGACATGAGGAGGACCGGTAGTACCAAGCATTGGCGAGGATGCAGGGTGACCAGAAGTCACTGCTGGTGGTGATGCAAATTGGTATGGCCACTTTGGGAGCCATTTGGTGGTTTCTTATGAAGTCAAACACATACCACACAGCCAGTCATACATACCTACACAAGAAAAATAAAAACATGTCCATGCAAAGGCTTGTGTGAGAATGTGCATAGGAGCTTTATTCATAAAAGCCAGAACTGGAATCAATCCATATATCACCAACTGGTTAATGGATGACAAATTATAGTACACCCATAAAAAGGAACACTGCTCCACAATGAAAAGGAATAAACTATCACCCCATGCAACAATGTGGATGGATCTCAGAAACATTTCAAGTGACAGAGCCAGAAACAAAAGTCTTTAAGGCCACCCTACAGCAAAAGAAAAATCAGTGTTTTACAGGAGCAGAATGGGGGGTAGGTATTGACTGCAAAGGAACTTCGTGTAAATTACATGTATGTGTAGTATACATACAATAAAGCTGATTTTTTAAAATGCTCACCTCCCCAGACTCTCTTGCAGTTAGGGTCAGACATGTAACCCCCATGGCAATGAGAGTAGGCAGATGTCTACAGGATGGTGTGTCTGGGAAAGCTATTGTTTTCCTGATAAAGAAA